CGTCATCTGGTCACCTCGCCCCTCCTCACAGCCCTGCTCCTCACAGAACCCACCGCCCTCCACTCTGACTCATAGTAACCACGTGTGATAGAGTATAAATGCCCCATGGGGTTTCCAAGGCTGTCATCTTGACGGAAGCACCCAAGATAACGGCCGTTAGTCACCTTTCCAACCCAGAACCAAACTCAGCTGTGTGGCCCAGCTCTCGGCCAGACCTCCGGCCGGTCCTACAAAGTGAACGGTAACAGCAGGAGCTCACCTGCTCCTTAAAAAAAACAAGCACATCGGATCAGAAGGGCAGCACCTTCCCGGCAGGAAGAAGGCAGGGAAGGCGGTGGGTAGAAGAACACATCCAAACGAGAATCGCACGGAGGAAGTGGGGTAAATAATACGCATATTTATGCATGTGCATAAATAGTTGAACTGAAAACCAATTTGTTCTGTAAACTTTAACTCTTCACTGAAAAAAAACCCCAAAACAAACAAGGAGGGAAGGAGGCTTCACGAGAACCATCTCTCAAGGAGCAGCCCCTAACTCCAGCTGCTGCCTTTCCGTCAGCAGCCCAGCACTTAACCCACAGTGCCACCGGACCCCTGGCAGCAGGGGCAGTTGCCATGTCTCCCACCAACTGCCCATCTCCTCAGCTGCCCCTCACCCTATCCCCTGAGCCTGGCTCTAAAAGCTCATTCGCTCGGCTAGTAGTTAATATGGGGGGTCGGGGGGTGGCATCGTAAACCAGAAGCTAATTAACGTGGTGAAGATCGTCTCAGAGCAGATGACTGAGCTGCCTTTCAAGCCCCACTCGGTCCCCTGACACAGACCAGCGTCCACCCTCGCCTGCCTGCGTTACTCCCCATTCAGACAGCACAAGGCCCTGCCCAACAGCCCTTGAGACTGAGGCCAGGCCTCAGAAACTGCGCCAATAGCCAATTACCTCCCCTGGCTGCGCCACCCTGCTCCAGAGTATTGTGAGAAGGACAGAAGGTGACGTAAGAAAGCCTGAAACCACGACAGGAAAAAGAAGAAAGGAATTCCCCCCCAGAGGCAGCGAATGCTGTGGAGACAGCGGCCTGGTGAAGTGTGGACCCAATGCTAGTGCTCACGGCGTGCGAGGCTGGGTGCGAGAGGACCACTGATGCAACAGAAGCTGGCCTGCTGGTCACCATCCTACAGCGCACAGCACCGACCCCACGGGCGCACCCGACCCAAAGTGCAACTCGACCATGGCGAGATCCTGGGCTTGGGCAGGACGCCCTGTGCCAGCGCTGGCCTCCGCGGGACCCTCGGCCGCGTGGCCCAGAACTCGCCTGGATGTGCGCGCGAGGTGGGCAAATGTCTTACCCACGGCTCCCCCCAGGAGTTGCGGACAATCCAGTACTCGATGCCGTCGCTGACGCCCCAGCCAGCCACCGAGACGATGTGGTTTATGGAGGCCTCGTCACTGTATTCCGCATAGATGCCGCCCCTGTACTTGTCCATGCCCTCTGTCGCCATGATCCCGCAGCTGGGGACAAGCAGATCAAGGTGCCGTTACAGGTGGTCCCCCCATCATTTACAGACCCAGTTACATGCGCCCCCCATCATTTACAGACCCAGTTACAGGTGGTCCCCCCATCATTTACAGACCCAGTTACAGGCGCCCCCCCATCATTTACAGACCCAGTTACAGGCGCCCCCCATCATTTACAGACCCAGTTACAGGCGCCCCCCATCATCATTTACAAACCCAGGCCACTGCGGGGCTGGTTCTGGATCAACCTACCAGCTCAGCATCTCAGCTACTGGAACAGTAATGGTTTTAGACTCTGTCAAATATTTACACCTGTGTTGGGGACCACCTCATCCACCTCATGTGACAGAGAAGAGCCCCCACAGGGATGTAACCTACGGGGGGAGGCCTAGTGGTTTAACACATATTTGTGAACGGAAATGACCACTGGTCCAATGACCCCACTGGCCACCACACAGGAGCAAGAGGCAGCCTCTTCCCGTAGAGATTCCAAACCTGAACCAAACCCACTGCCAATGAGTTGATGCCACCTCCCAGCGACCGTCCATCAGCTTCCGAGGCTGGGGGCTCTCTGACAGGATACCACCCACCTTCCTGCCCTGGAGGGGCTGGTGCGTCTGAACCACTACCTTCTGTTGAGCAGCCTGCCACGATGCTACCAAGGGCTCTTAGCCATAAGGACCGCTGCTGTGTGCACTGCTGAGTGGGAGCCGACCCAGAGCTGACCCTCCAGCGGGTTTTCAGAAGCAGTAAATCACGCGGCAGGAGACTGCCCGTCCCTCTCCCATGGAGCAGCTGGTGGATTCGAACTACAGGCCTTTGAGGTTGCACCACAGCTCCTTACCAATAGGCTACCAGAAGACTCCAGCCGGGAAACTCTATGGAGCAGTTCTAACTGTCTGAGGGAGCTGAGTCAGAGTCGACTCACAGGCAAAGCGCTCATCTTCATGGGGAAGACCGCCAGGGCTTCTCGCCTGCAAGGCCACTGCTCTTTTAGTTAGCAGCCAAGTGTTTAACCACTGCACCACCAGGGCTCCTGACTTTGTAGAAACCAAGCCCATTGCCATCACGTGGACTCCAAGTCCAGCAGCCCTCCCCAGGACTTCTAAGGCCAAGTTGTCACTGGAGGAGACGCCCACCTTTCTCCTGAGGCGGAGCTGGTGGCCTTGAACCCCTGGGCTCTTAGCGCACGTCGATGTGCTTTTCACCCCACTGATCCTTGGAGGGCAGTGAGTTCAGAGTTTCTAGAAAGCAGAGGCTCCCACTCAGAGCCAGCGTCTCAGTCCAGTGAGCCTGTGGGAGGCCGCACCCCGGCTGTCCCTGGCAGCTCCTACCTGATGGGGCCGTTGGCATAGATCTCCGCCATCATCTTCTCCCGTCCGGAGACCGGGCCATAATCGCCAACCTTCCAGAGGGTGTAGTTCTGGATGACGTGGCACACCTTGAATTCCGTGCAGGTGCCACACTGGTTAAACTTGTCACACTCTGCAGGGGAGGGCCAGCAGCCAGGTCAACCGGGCGTCCCCTGGTCACCACTCCCGCCACCTCCCACTCAGGCCAGCACCGAGATGCCCTCTGATGAGGCTGCCTGACCACAGCTCCTTCCAGCGGCTGGGCAGGCAGGATGCCCTTCGCCGGGTGCCGGGCACGGGCAGGGAAGAGGACTGTTCATCATACGGGGTGGGCACGGCCAGACGACAGGACAAAGTGCAGCCAGAGTTCTCCAAGGAGGGGAGACTCCGAGGATGGGGACACTGGCCCGCGCACTGGGTGCAGGGCACCAGGCCTGGGGTTGTGGGTGGACAGTGAAGAGCAAGGCCCTCCACCTGGGGGGCTGATGGAGGGGCCAAAACGGCAGGCTCGAGCCACTGTGAGGATGGAGCAGGCTGGGCAGGATATCGTCCTATCGCGTGGGGTCAGGATGGGGTGGGGTGTCGTCCTGTCACGTGGGGTCGAGTGTCATCACATGGGGTTGGAACAGGAAGGGCTGGGCAGGGGTCACCCTGTAGCGTGGGGTCAAGACTGGGCGCGTGGAGTCAGAACCAGGCACGTGGGGTCGGGATGGGCAGGGTGTCGATCCATCACACGTTGGGATGGGATTGGTGGGGTGTCACCTGTTGCATGGGGTCGAGACAGGCAGGTTTGGGCAAGATGTCATCCTGTCACGAGGGGTCAGGACCAGGAGCGTGGGGTCTGGATGGGAGTGTCGTCCTGTTGTGTGGGGTCAGGACGGTCCCATCACATAGGGTCGGGACCGGGCGTGTGGGGTCTGGACGGGCGGAGTGTCGTCCTGTTGTGTGGGGTCAGGACGGTCCCATCACATAGGGTCGGGACCGGGCGTGTGGGGTCTGGACGGGCGGAGTGTCGTCCTGTTGTGTGGGGTGGGGACTGGGCGTGTGAGGTCACTGAGAAAACTGGCACATCGGCATCTAACACAGCAACAAGAGAGCCTCGAAAGTCAGCCTTTTCCTTGTCCTTTAAGGCCTTTTCACACCTCTTGATGGGTGAAAATTAAGTGTAATCAAATTATTAACACATAACAACCTGATTGTATTGCCTTCACTGAACAGATAACGGTGATACATTCGAGAAGCCATTTCTCTATGTGGGGTTGAGGTGCTATTGAGAATCAAGAGAAAGTGGACCCCAGCAGTGGGCGCCTGGCCCCTCCAAGAGCCGCCTCGCTGGCCAGCCCCCAGCCCTCCCTCCACCCCTTGGGCCTCTGCTGTCACCTGGCTCTGCTCGAGTCAGACCTGTCCCCTCTCCCTCAGGAGAGTACACTCTGAAGATGGCACTGTCCCTGGGACACCAGTGCCCACTTCCCAGCACACACACGCCCTGGGGGGGATGGCCACAGCCAGTTCACAGACAGGACAGGCCACCCCTAGCCCTCAGGCTTCTAGACGTCCCACCGTTGTCATACTAATGGGGGAAATGGAAGAACCAGCCTTGACTGGACCAGACCTGCTCAGGCCCAGGTTGGGCAGGGAGGGGGCAGAGCCCACCAACCATCTTGGGAAAATTCCTGCTGCAGGACCTGGAGGCCCCGCGAGGGGCACCACGGGCATGCTGGGAGCTGGGGGCTAACCCCCTTGTGGCTGGGAGCTGGGTGGGAGTGGGGTGCCCAGGGCTCCTGCTTCCCACCTAGCCTCCTCCCGCTCTCCAAGCTGACAGGGAGGCCCCGACCTCACACCACTGTCACAAGCCGGCCCTTCCCCATCTGCCCTATCCCAGCTTGGGGGCAGAGGAGAGTTACAAGCTACTTGGTGAGGCCCATTGGGTGTCCCTGGAGGCCTGGACTTCCCAACCCCTGGTTCAACATCGCTCGTGCCTACTTTCCACCCAACTCCCCCTCTGCCAGGTCCCTGCACCCTACAATCCCTCAGAGCCCCGTAGCACCACTCTGCCTACAGTTGGAGCCCAATCTCAAGTGCCGGGTCTCCACCTCTGCCTGCCCACAGGGACCCTGTGCCCCATGGACTGCCCCCCACTGTCCAGGCCTACCCTGGTCCTTGGCCTGGTAGTTGTTGCAGGTCTCGTCGGGAATGCCATGCTGGTGGGCATAGGCCCACACCTCCAGGTCATTGCCGCCCTCGCAGGAGCCCGCCTCGCCGCAGTCAATGACGTTCTGCACAGACAGCAGTGTGGACGGCCAAGCCCCCTTTCTCTTGATGTTGATGCGGTCTGTAGGGAGAGTGGAGTCAGGTCGGGCCCACCTCAACCAGTCCACCGCCTCGGCCAGCCACCCTCTCTCCCCGCCTCTGTCTCCATCACCCAGGCCACATGCACAGCAGTCCAGCCTGGCCTCCCACGCAGATTCTGTCCCCAAGCCTGCCCGAATGCCCCTGAGGCCCAGGTGGAGAGGACATGGGTACTGACCACCTGGACAGGAGACTAGTCTCTTACAAAGGCTGGCAGCCCTGCCCAGGGCAGCAACCTGACAAGATGTGTCCTTTCAAAGTGGAGCCACAGCCCTGCCGGACACCTCACTGTCCCCTCTCACTGCCAGTGACTTCATAACCACCCCCATCTCAAGGCATTCCACCATCTGTGTTCCCCCTCCAAGGCAGCTCCAATGAGGCCTTGTTCTCTAGGGCCACCAGAGCCCCTCCGTGGGGTTCCTGTCCATAGCCCACCCTGACTCACACCATGGTCTCTCTGACAGTCCCCTCCTCCCCAGCCCTGTGCCTTCTAGAACTCATTATTACCAACAACACTCACAGTCCTCAGCCCTTTCTCCAAAAGCCCCGTCATTTTCCCCCTGCCTGAAGGTTATCCCCCAGCATCTGCCCCCTAACACTCACTTTCTAGTGAGGGACGTGTCCCTCAGAAATCAGCATCAACCTGGAAAGTGATCTTACTGAGAAAAGAGGATCTTTGCAGAAGTACCACGTTTTACATTAATAACACACACTTGACACATTTCTGCAAAACTCAAAGCCCCGTTGCTCTGCCCTGTGGGTGTGTCATTTCCATGGTCAAGCTACATGGGAAAATATGGCCATTGGTCAAGGCTCCTGAGGTGAGATCATCTTTAAGTTTGGGTGGAGCCCAAATGCAATGATTGATGTTCTTGTAAGATGAGAGGCCAGAGAAGAGGAGACCAGGGAGTGAGACAGAGGCAGACAGGGAAGCAGAGTGGCCTCAAGCCAAGGAACACGTAGAGCCCCAGAAGCTGCAAGAAGGGTCCTCCCCCAAGGACCTCCAGAGGAAGCTCAGCCCCGCCAGATGTCCATCCGAACACACTTCTGGTTTAATCCACCAAGCCTGTGAAAACCTGTCCAGAAGCCATGGGAAACCACTAGAGATTGAGGGAAAGGGAGTTAGGACAACACAGATGAATAGAAGAGGTCCACCTGTGGTCGCGTAGCGACTCATCATAAAAGCTTATCACAACCACCTAAGGATCAGCTCAGGGTCTCTCCCCGTTTGGAATAAAGAGGGAAGAAAAGTAAATTAGTCCCAAGACCTAATGGGCTACAAGTACCTCAACTCCCAGGACCCTGAGACCAGCAGAACAGGATGGTGTCTGGTGAGCACTGCTGACCAGGCCAAAAGGGATACAGTTAGAAGGTGGTCCTGGATAGATGGGGGAAATGTGGACCAAAACTCAAAACATACACAAAGTCAGGCTGGCTGGGCCAGCAGAGACTGAGGGAGCTCTCGAGATGGGCCCTCAGTCAGTCTTTGAACTTGGAGACAAACTCATCCCCCCCACCCCCCGGTCAGGCAAACGATAGGTCTATGAAGTGACAGAAAGCCCAGGGAGGCACTCACTCCTAGACTAACCCATCATGTAAAGTAACAGCTCACACAGCAGGACGGCGTAGGACGAACCCATGGCCCACAATCACAGGGAAGCAATGTGAAGGGTGTGGTTACGTGGCGGGTACCGTGATTAAGGTTACAAGATGTGGATGTGTGGTAGAATAAAAAATCAGTTTGTTTTTGTAAACTTTGTCTTAAATAACAATTTACCAAAAAAGAGAAAAAACTCAAAGAACTGTGAAAAGCATGGAGAAAATAAGAACAGAAAGAGAAACAGAAGTATATAAGCACAGAAAGAAAGAGATTGGAGAGGAGGTTCTCACAGAGGTGAAGGCAGGAGCTGGGAGAGCAGGAGAGAAGATTCCAGACACTGTACCTGGCATAGGAAGCATCACATCGCAGCCCTTTGAGAGAGCCGGGAGCGGCAAAGAGGAGACCAATAAGCGACAGGGAGCCAAAGCCCAAGCTCCTGGAGGTCACGCATGGGCTTGATGCACAATGAGGGAACGCTTGCTCAGAACCATTGGACGGCTCTGAATCGAACAGCAAAGTGACCTCAAAGCAGATAGGAGGGTTCAGAGAAGGGAGCAGGACACTCAGAAGGGAAGCGTTTGTAGGTTTCCCAGAGGAAGATGAGCATCGCGAATCCTGGATGTGTTCTGAGGACGGAAGAAGCGAGCTTTGTTGAGTGGGTAGTGCGAGGGTCAGAGAGGACTGGGCAGGAACCAGGGGTGTGGTATCTGGGTCTACCAAGACCGAGGGCTGGAGACGGGGCAGTGGGAACAAGGGTGTAGGCGGCATTCGAGGCCAGGGATGGTGGAGTTGCAGTGCGTCAGAATGAGCTCCACATGGACAGGAGGAAAAGGGGAGGCCAGAAGTGCGTCAGGAGCAGGGCCCGAGGGCCAGGGCCTCTCCTCACTTGGCCATGGGCAAGCTTAGCCAGCTCTGATGGCCTACGAGGCCCGTCATGCTCTGGGTGAAGAGCAGGAGTGTCCTGCTATGTGCAGGAGTATGTCCTTTTCGAGGGCCATCAGCTCTGCTCCGTGACTGATGGATGGACACTCATGAAATCCCCTTCTGGTAGCTTCTACTTTCTCAGGACCCAGTTGCTGGGGGATGTTAGGAAACCCTGGAGAGAGAGACCAAGCCAAGCGTGTCTCCTGAGAGGACTCTAGACTGGGTGGAGCGGAGCCCCTGGGGCTTGCCCAGCCTCTCCACTCCTCTCAGAGTCTTCAATTCCCCAGCACACGGTCAGAACCCTCACGGTCAGAACACTCACGGACATCCTCAGGGCTTCCTTCAGGTTCTGGGCAGGGTCCCAGGGGGCCTGTCCAGTTCCTGTCCTCAACCCACTCACAAGGCCCTTTCAGTTCCTCAATGGGCCCAGTTCCTCTCCCAAGGCCCATGAGGTGGACTGCCTGCTTCTGGGCTGGTGGGCTTCCCCATGCTCAGAATCCTTGTGGTGGTTCCCTGGCCTCCTGCAGCCAGGCACTGAGCTTCCGATGAAACTCAAACCAGCCCCACTGGCTCTCAAACCCATTGTGATTACCAGCAGCCAGAGGACAGAGCACAACCGCCCGAGGACTGCCAAAGCTGGGAATCTCGGTGGGTAGAAGTACACTGCCTCATCCTTCTCTGGAGCCACAGGTCGAGCAAACCACTGACAGGTCCTGCTAGCACCCCCAGAGCTAAGGTTCTGATCAGAAAGGCTGATCCCTGGGTGGGCCCTGGGCCATGTGGCCCTCATACCGCCCCCTCAAATATTAACTGTATGCAGTTTCGCTTCCTTGTCCTCAAACGCAGCTGGGGCTGGGTGATGACGCATTTCTGCTTCAGTCTAAAGTGGCTGGTTCTCGCTCCTTTTGGTCCTGATCCAGTCGGCTCCCAGGCCGCATGGACACCCACACTCCCACCCCTGTGGGCCTGCTACCCGTGGGAAAGCCTGGTGCTCAAGGGAGAAAGGTCAGCCCTCTGGGCCAGCCCAGGCACGCGGGGCTGGGCTGACCCGGACCAGTCTCACTGGACCCGTGCCCTGGTGCAGAAGTGGTCCTGGTCATACCTGCCATGGCACTGGTGGTACCGTGGGCCCAGCAGGAGCCGCAGTACTGGGGGATGTGCTGATTCCTGGTGATGCTGGCATAGTTGACGCCCTTCACGTTCCGCCAGTCCCATTCCTGGGGCAGGTCAGACGGGGACAGGTACTCATGAGGTCGGGGGTAGGTTCTGGGAAGAGACCGCCACCAGAATCAGTGCTGGAGCCTTGGGGATCCCCTGGACCCCCCGCGCCCCAAAATATGCCGAGTGCAGAGGGCACCCATCACCCACTGGAGACGAGGGCACTAAATCCGGGAAGGGGCAGGGTGCCCTGTGAGGGGTCGCGCGGCAAATCAGCCAAGCTGGGAAGTGTGGGACAGGATGCCCAAACAGCGAGCGCTGGGCCCCAGCTCTCCAAAATGAGGGACTGGAGCCAAACCCCAGATGCCAGGCAGTGGGGGTCCCGCGGGTCTGCGCGATGGCCACGCTGTCTGCACCGCGGGCCCTGTCTGGCCGGGCCAGGAGGTGGGTCCGACCCCAAGGTCACGGCGTCCGCCCGCGCCCCACCTGCGGCCCTGCGCCAGCGAGTCCCCGGTCCGCGCGCGGTAGCAGCTCTGGCCGGGGCGGAAGTAGAGGCCGGCCCGCGCCGCGCCCGCCAGCAGCACGAGCAGCAGCAGAGGCCGCGCCCCGCACGACGCCATGCCGCTCCGGGTGCCTGTCCGGTGCCGGTCCGATGCCGATCTGGGGCCGATCCGGTGCCGATCCGCCGGTGCGCCCGGCTCTGCTCCGTGCGCGCTCCGCTCCGGCTCCGCGCCCGCCCTGGCCCGCAGGCCCTTAAGGCGGCGGCCGCGCCCGGGACACTCCCCCAGGGCGGGGCGGGCCTGGCCCGGGTGACCCCGGCCCCGCCTGCACCCCTCTGGGCGCCCAGGGCACGGTGGACACGGCCTGCGCGCCCCAAAGCACGCCTTACACGGAGGCCTGGGCGCCAGACCCCAGGCCTGACCCCAGTAGTGGGCACTCTACCGGCCATGCGCCTGGTGGGGGGATTGAGGGCTTTCCTGTCAGCCTGTGCTTGCTTTCTGGGTCCTCTGCTGGAGGGGTGGACGGTCAGGGCCTCCAAGGCAGCCCAGACCCGATTCTTGGGACCATCCTGCACCCCACCAAGGCCTAGGCTTCCCCACATGTCCAGCACTACATGATTTCCTCCCAAATCTGGAGAAGGGGCCACTGTTCTCAGAACCGAGTCACGGAGACACAGTGATCTAGACTTGATCGCTAAATGAAAAGATCTGAACCCACTAGCCATTGTACTAAAGAAATGTGGGCAGTCTGCTCCACTCACAAAGATGGGAGCTGAGAGAGAGAGAGAGAGAGAGAGAGAGAGAGAGTGAGTGTGTGTGTGTGTGTGTTTCTCCTCTGGCCTCGGGGGTCCCTGTGAGTTGCACTTGATGTGATGGCACTGAACTTGGAGCTTAGGGGTTGTTTTATCCTGTCTAGGAACCCTGATGATAGGGTGGTTAGCTGATAAATGGAGAAAGTGAAGGAAGCTGCTTCTACAGGATTCTGCCCTGATTCTGCCTTTGGAAAGCGCATGGGGCGTTTCTGCTCTGTCCCACACCCTCACTGGGTTGGAACGTGATCAACAGCAGTGGGGTTTGGTTTCTAGCTTCCTGAACCCCGTCCACTTACAGGACACACTTCACCTTTCACAGAGAAGGGGGACAAGATCCTTCTGGAAAGTACCCAGAAGGAAAAATTCTACCTGTGCAGGAATCACAGCCCTGCTTCGACTTTGAGAGATGCTTGTTGATTAAAAAACCCTCCCCAATCAAGCGCGGAGCCTAAAGCAGAAGTGGTACCTCGGGACTCGATTTCATCACTCTGGAGTTTCTCCCTCCCTCTTTCTTCTCAGAAAGTCAGAAATGGCCTCCTTCCCTTTGTAAGAAAAAGGCTGGGCATTCGAGCTTGTAGAAGTCTCCTAGCCTTGGCACAGGGGCCGGGGCTCCCAGCTCACTTTAGCTACTAAGTGGGCATCAGCCCTTCTGATGGACGTTGGCTCAGCCGGCACCACAAGACACTCCCACATAAAAGTGGCTGCTTTCCTGTGTCCTCTGAGGGGTGAACCCTGGAGGCACTGAGGTGACCACAGATTCCTGGGGTTGGCAGAGAGGTGGGATCCTGCAGTCCTGAGGACAGACGTCTGGGGGGCAAAGGTCACTCTGTGCGTAGTCAGCACTTGGTCATCACTCTGTTCCGGAGAACGACCCCTCAGGCACTGTGGGCCTCGGGTTCCAGCAGGCCTCTGTTTTCTTCCAGGCGGCCGGGCTGTACCTCCCGAGAGCCAGGCAAGCACCCAGGTGGGAGGAGTGAGGACAGCGAGGCAGCTTCTAGTGTTGTTTGTGGAACAGGTGCCCCACAGCCAGAGTGCTGAAGGTGAGGGAAGAGATTTGTGGGCTGTCTCCCCTCCACCCACTTCAGCCCTCTTTCCATCCAAGTCTGAAGTGAGTCAGATCGTTCGAGCAGGACAGGGAACCCAAAGCCCAAGTGCCCTGTGCCACCACCAGGAGCAGCCCATGGGCTCCTTTCTAGATGAAGGAGGAAATACAGATCATCCAGGCCACCAAAGCCATTTGCACCACGCTGATCCCAACAGGGGCACACTGGTGGCTGGGCACACTCGTGGCTACGTCCACTGCTGGGCACACTGGTGGTTACGTCCACTGCTGGGCACACTGGTGGCTGGCACTCTGGTGGCTGGGCACACTGGTAGCTATGTCCACGGCATGGCCCACAGCTAGGGGAGACAGGCGGTCCTGCAGGAAGGGCTCCCCGAGGCCGAGTCCTCACTGGCAGGGCTGTGATGTCCACTGTGGTCTCTGACACTCAGTGGGGACATATTTCCTTTTCATTCATTGCTGGGAGAAGGAGCCCTGGTGGCACAGTGATTGAGCACTTGGCTCTGCAGGAAAAAGGTGAGACAGCCTGCTCCTGTGAAGATGTCGTTGCTGATGGTAGGTACCGTGGACTCGGTGCTGACTCGTAGCGACTCCGTTCACAGCACCTCAAAACCTTGCTTGGTCTCAGTCATCCCCTGGTTGTCCTCAATGTATCGGTTTATTGTATATTGCTACACACGTCTCTTTAAACCCACTCTCAGGCACTGGCTCAGCTCATTTCGTAAGGACTTCCTTTCTTTTACTTCCCCTCTGCTTTTCGCAACATGATGTCTTTTCCCGGGGACTCACCTCTCCTAAAAACATGCCAAGAGCATGTGAGACAAAGTCTTTGCCTCTAACGAGCACTCTGGTTGCACTTTCTCCTAGACAGATTCAGTTGTTCTCTTGCGGTCCATAAGCTTCACCAGCACAATTAAAAGGCATCAATTCTTCTTCATTGTTCCTTAGTTATTGTTGAACTTTCATGTGCTTGTGAAGCATGGCTTAGGTCAGGTGCACCTTAGTCTTTAAACTGACATCCTTGCTCTTTACTATATGGTGCGGTTCTTCTCTGTCCTTCAGGGTCACCCTGAGTTGGAATCAACTTGTCAGCATTGGGTTATGGAAGTGCTGGGAAATCTGGGATGCTCCAAAGAGGCCCTGTGATGCTCAGAGAAGGACCCTCATGTGCAGAAAGTAAGACAGGTAGTCTGGCTCCGGGATATGAGAGATGAGCAGCCTCCCAGGACCTCATGGTCAGGAGGGCCCATCTCTAAAGTTGCTCTGTCCTCCTGAGATCTAAGAATCGGGAGGTGGGGGTTGGGAGCTTGTCGAGGTTTTGCTACCAACGAAAGGAATGTAGCCTTGTCCCTCGGTTCAAGACTCACCTCCTCTGACCAAAGACACCAGGGCATGTGGGCAGACTCAGCAAAGGAACAGACCCATCAAACAGCCCACTCTGGACTGCAACAGGCCTTTAGCTGAAGAGGAAACTCGAGTGGACAACAAGTGCATGGATATATGTTCACCATCATTAGTCTCTGTCGTTAGGTGCCATCAAGTCACAGCGACCCTGTGTTCAACTGGATAAACTCCTGCCCGAACCTCTGTCACCCTCACCTTCATCACCAAGCTTAAGCCTCCAGTTACAGTCACTGGTCACTCCATTTACTTAAGAGTTCTGGTCTCCTTTGAGACCTTCTCTTTCCAGCGTGCTGTCCTTCTCTGGGGCCTGGTCCTCCCTGATAACATGTTCAAAGGGTGTGACAAGTCCCAACATCTTTGCTTCTAAGGAGCACTCTGTCTTCACTTCTTCCAAAACAGATTTCATCTTTAGAGAAATGCAAACTGAAACCGCACTGAGATATCTCTTTGTCCCCATGCGGATGGCTGTGATTAAAAAAAAGAACACAACAAAACCCCAACAGCAAAACCCCAAACCCCAGCTGAAAATAGCAAGTGTCTCTGAGGATGTGGGGACCCTGAGATCTCCCTTCATGACAGCTGGGACTGTAGAAGGGTACAGCTGGTACAGCAAACATCTCAGGGCTTCCTCAGAAAGCTAAGCATAGACCTCCCCCATGACTCAGTACCTCCACTCCTAGCAGTCCTCCCAAGAGAATGCAAGGTGGGCCACAATATGAAGCAGGTAACCGTGTATCTCTGTAGGTGTGTTTGCGGATCAGTTGTGCTCTATCATATATTGAGATATATTATCTTTAGCACTTTTGAGGGGTCTTTGAGAACAGATCTTTCCAATGCCGCCCGTCTTCTGATTTTTTGACTGTTACCATGAGTGTTGATTGTGAACAACTTCAGGGTGTTTTTCCCCTCCACCTATCATGATATTGCCTATTGAACCAGTGGTGAAGATTGTTATTTCAAGACTAAGGTGCACTTGGTCCACTCCATGGTATGCAGCTAAAAGTTAGACAATGAATAAGGACGACAGGAGAAGAACCAGCAACACCTTTGAGGTGTGGTGTTGGAGAAAGTACTGACTATCCCACGGACCACCAAAAGAACCAACTATGGGAAGCCAAACTTTATACCAAATATTATATGAAAACCCATGTTCAAAAATTGAAGGAATTGCAGATTTATAAGTTAGGATTTCTCTTGTGGCAGATCCCAGAAAATGAGCTGTTTGTTCCCTGCAGACAGGAGACAGCTAGGCGCGCCCTACAGAGGGAGAGTTACTTCCTGAGCTAGAGTTCACCCTGAGGCATCAAGGCAAATCCTTAAGGGTTTACTTTGCATTTGTGAACCCCTCCCTCCTGAGTCAAAGGGAAGGTTTTCAATTGAGAGAGCTTGGCTTCATTTACAAGGAATTCCTTTGACGATTTGCTTCCCCTGCTTATCAATAAATACAGAGAAACATGACTGCTGGCCCCCTGTTTTATGCTCTCTGCTCTATCTCATTCCTGGCTGGCTGTCTCATTATTAATAATTATAAAATTACTTTACCCTCGGTCTGCAACAACCAACAAATCTCTCTTGGGGGAAGTGCAACCAGAGTTCCTTGGAGGCAAGGCTGGTGTGGTGTTCAAGGTTTACTGTTCACAATGGCTTCCCTGGCCTTTTTCTGACCTTGTCCTGTGGATAGGTGGGAATGTGCAAACAGGGCAAGTTAGACTATTCACAAGGAGACTGACTAGTCTTGTCATTAAATTGAGCAGATCCAGCAGCAGAATTCAAGGACCTCTCCACCAGCAAAGGAGAATGCGATGCGTCCTTGGGGGCCAGAGATTTGGGGCCAGTCAGAC